TCGCCTTTTTTCGCCTCATCTTCGTATGGAAAGACATGTCTCGAACCAAATGGTCTCTAGGCCACCAAGATCTTTATCTAAAAACTCACATTGTCTTTTGGCTGTCAAATCTTCTAGAAGATCTTTCAAAAAAGACTTATCAAATGACACTTTAAATATACGAGTCTTTTATTTGTATTAGAAAATAAGATTAGAAAAAAAATCATTATTAATTTAAATCCCATAATATTTCTTTCTTGAAGGTGGAGATGATTACCTTTACCTCTTTTGAGAGTGGGATTAACCCTTTTGGGTCAAATGGGCCAACCAATATTGCTATAAAATTAAATAACAAAATTCAAAAAATAGATAAAATACAAAAAATATAGAAATTAAAAAAATTGGAAACATTTTTAACATAACAGATTCAACATATTAAACAATAATAAGTATAATAAATAAGAAATATTTTTATTAGTGATGAAAATGGAATATAAAATTTAAAACCAATTGGAAATAAAATTATTTTTCTGTACTCTCATTAAATCTCACATTAAATCCTATATTTAAGATATATGTTTCTCATCATTAAATTTTAAAAATTTGAAAACAAAACCATTTTCTTCCCTCCCGGTGGTGGGTAAGCAATTTAACCATTTGGGGTCAAATGGGTTAATCAATAATGTCATAATTCCATAATAAAAAATTAAAATAAATAAAATATAAAATACAAAAAAGGGCATACCTCTAATATTGTATATTCATTATATTAAACAAAAATAAGTATGAAATGTAAAAAGTATTTTTACTAATAATGAAAATGGAATGCCAAATTTAAAATCAATCTAGAAATGAAATGATGTCATAGTCAAATAATAAATAAAAAAAATACAAAGAATCACAAAAATTAAAAAAAAATAAAAAAATTCGGACATATGTCTAATGTTATATATTTATAAAAAAATAAAATATTGGGTACATTTCTAATATAATACATCTATTCTATATATATAAAGCAAGGTTGTCCATGTTATCATGCCTCTCTTTACTCCAAACCCCCTCTTAATTTCATTTTCTTTTTGAATTTTGTATTTTTTAATTCCACATAATTGGCCATTAAACCAATAAGGAAATAACATAGGCTAAATTATCTCAAAACAACCAATAGATAAAGAAATAGAGATTTGTTTTTCTAATGTCTAGCCAAGTGGCACCACTATCTCCTACTTTCTCCTAAATTATCTCTAATTCCCATTTATCATCTCCTCCACTTTTTAACTATATCTATCTAAAGAAAGTTTGAATTAAAAAAACTTAAAAATTATTTAATTATTATAACAAAATTGTATAATAACTTCAAAATATTTACTAAAACACAAAACCAATTCTAATAGATTTAATAATATTCATATCATTAATAATGTTATATTTTTACAAAATTCATCAAAAAATTATGTACTAACAATATAAATTATAATTTTATGGATTATTCAATTTAAATGTTATTCAAATAATAAAAATTTAACATTAAAAATAAAATATTATTTAAATATTTTGATAACAAAATATTAAAAATAACTAAATAATTATATCATAAATATTTAATATTATGTAATGACTTCAAAATAAATAAATTCAAATAACGAAAAATTTTAAATATTTTACATATTATTTAAATATTTAAACAACTAAATATTTAACATAACTAAAATTTAAATAGTTAAAATAATGAAATTATGTAATAAATTTAAAAAAATCTTAAAAGTAGAAAAACAATTTTAATAGATTTCACAATATTCAAATTAATAATATTTTAATATTTTACAAAATTAATAACAAAATTGTAATAATAGTGTAAATTATAATTTTATGCATTATTAAATTCAATAAATAATTAATATTTTAAAATTTTAAATAATGATATGTTTAAATAACTAAATAATATTGTCCACTTATATAAATTAATAATTCTAGAAAATTACTTTCAGAAAATAATATTTATTAATGATAATTTTGAAATCTTAATCTACATTTGTTATATATTTATACATACTTAAATTAATATTTGTTGTATTTTCAGTGATTATTTATTTTATTTTCCTTATAAATATATTTTCAATAATTATGTATAAATATATATTTTTATTTAACAGAAACTTTTTAATAAATATTGGACATTAAAGTACTGTTATTTAAATTTTTAAATTTAATTTATTGTACTTATTGTATTTTTTTATAAGTTTGTTTTTAATAATTATGTATTTTTGGTAAAATTTATTATAATATTTATTAGATATTAAACTTTTATTTGAGATTACACCATTTATTAACTAATTTAATATATTTTCAGTATTTATTGCATTTTTGTAATTATTTTATTTATTGTATTTTCATTATAAATTCATTTGCAATAATTATGTATTTTTTTCTATAAATTTCAATAATTATTGGAGATTAAACTGTTATTATTTATTAGAAATTCATTTTTAATTTATTTGTTTGGTCAACCAAGTCGACCTAGTCAAGTTGGGGAGTTGGTCACCCAAAACCGACTGACCATTAGTGAAAATTAGCCAACCCAAGTTGTATTGGTCTATTAGTCAATTAAAAAAAATTAAACTAACACAATTAAATTTAAATTTATAAAATTAGTGGTATTATTAAAAAATACATTAAAAAATAAATTTATGATATAAAATATTTTAAAATAAGAAATATGAGAATTTCCCACTTTTTGTATTAAAAAAATTATATTGTAGTAATATATATATATATATATATATATATATATATATTATATGGTTAGGTCGGGTCGGGTCGGTTTACAAGTGGCTAAACCAAAATTGACCCAACCTAGTCAAGTTGGGAAATTGTTGAACCAAAGCTGATATGAAATACTTGAAAATTGACAAACTTGGGTCGAGTTGGTCAAATTGGTTGTTTTCATCGGTTTGATGAATAACCCTAGATGAAATTAATTATTATTATTTTTGTATTGCAAAAAAATTATTAAAAGTAGTATATAAAATATAAATAATTATTAATTATTTAAAAAGTTAAAATATAAAACAATTGTATACTCTAATGTGTTTCTATTATTTAGCTTTCGCTTAACAAAGCCTATGCATCACATGGGTCCCTGCTAGTTTATTATATAAAACAAAAATAACTACTATACATAAGAAATAATTTTATCAATAATGAAAATGTAATATAAAATTTAATGTCAACCTAGAAATCCAACTATTTTTCTTTTTGGGTGGTGAGTTAGTGGTTTGGCTCAAATGGATTGACCAATGATAAGATAGTTAAATAATAAATATTGAAAAAATAAAAAAAAAAGTATAAGTACAAGTACTTAAAAGAATATATAAAAATTACATATTAATTATGTCAAACAAAAATTGTGTGACAAGTAAAAATTATTTATATAAAATAGATGAATATATAATGTAAAATTGGTCCGAAAGTAAAGTTATATTCTTATCTATATGGTGGGTCAATGATCTAATTTTTCAAAGAAACTCACGATGTCATAATTGAATAATGAACATTAAAGAAAAGATAGTACACAAAAAAAATGACAAAATTTTGTCAAAATTATTTGGTGACATTTCTAATGTTATATATTCAACATATTAAATAAAGATAATTGTTAAAATAAAAATTATTTTTATTTATTACAAAAATGCAATACAAAATATAATAATAATAATAATAATAATAATAATAATAATAATAATAATAATAATGCTGGTGTTAAAGTATACCATGTTCCATAGGGAAGTGAATACATTCAATTTCCTAATAAAAATAAAACTATATTTTGTTATGGATGAGTTTAAACACCTCCATATTTGATTTTTTTTTTAATTCACTACATTTTAGGGAACTGGGAAACAATTTGAAGAAGAGAGAGAATAAATTGAKATAGACACTTCATTTTAAGTATATGGGTAGAAATAGAATAGATTAGAATGGTCTATGAAAGTTAAATATTAACCAATACAAGTTAATAGACTGTACTGTATGCAAAATGATTTTATGTTTCAGGTTTCATGGCAGTAAAAAAGAATGTAAGATAACTTGACACTACTATTATATAGATTTACTTTAAAATACTTTATTTTTTCTCTAGAAATAGATTCTTGAATTACATTAATTTGAAATTATGATTTACATTTTAGGATTTTCTCAATTATTTGTTTTATCCTAGGGGCAATTAATGTACAGATTACATTTGATTTAATCCCTTCAATCTTACCATTTCATACTGGATTTTCTTATGATGGCACGGGGCCACGTTAGTATGAATAGAAATAGAATAGATTAAAAACTATTACAGACGGTACTGTAGTGGATATGGTTAATTTTTACTAAAACAGATAATTTCTTGCCATGTGGCCATGCCACATTATTACTATGAAAAGTCTATATGTCCATTATGTGGATGCTTTAAACCAGTCGATTTAACCAAATTATTCTATATTACTAAAATGCAATTGTCCATATCAGCACCCCATTTCCCATCATTCTCTCTCTCTCTCTCTCTCTCTCTCCATCACCTTCCAAATCTTATTTAAGTTAAACTTTAAATATTAAAATAAGTAAAAAAGATATCTAAAAGACTAATAAGAGAAAATAATAACTTAGAAAATAAGTAATATTAATAATTAATCATATTAATTATTGTTGATAAAACGTATAGTTTTAAATCAATTTAAGTTCCATTTGAAATAATTACATTAATAAAGTTTTACAATTAATTTTAAATTTTTACTATCAAAGTAAAAAATAAAAATGTATTAAATTTAAAGTTAATTTTTACTAATATAATGTCCATTTTAAATTGTATTTAAAAACAATAAAACTTAATACAAAATTTTTGCTAATCTCATTGAGATAAAACATAGATTGTAGTTAAACCAATTAGACATTATGAGTTGGATTTGTACCAACTTGAATCAATTGAGTGTTATAAGATCCTGTTTGCAGTCTAAAAAGATGAAACTCCACATAGATAGCCACAAACAGGGTACTCGGATGACATTTGATAACATTCTTCTGGAATATTTTTAGTGTTCCAGAGGCAAAAGATAGTTGCATATTAGTCCTTGTATGACAGGAACAGGAATTGTTCCATTGGGACGTTATCAATTACAGACTTAGTAAGCTAGATTGTATGACAGGAACAGGAATTCTTCTACATGGAAAACTAAAAGGGCTCATTTTTATCAATTAACTTGCCTAAAACACTTAAGAATTACAACGCAACTTATTTCCTGTTCTATTTCCGATCCGTGCAGCATTTTGTTTTACTGCAAAAGGGCTTTCGGGAAGAAACAGAGTTGTATAAAACTTTACAAAAGATGATTTCTATTGACTCCACGTTTTCTCTCTAATTAATCACTAATGATAATCAGCATGCACAGTGAAATACCGAAATGCTAAAACACCTTGATTTGGCTGCTATCTTTCTTATACCTCTTTCATTGAAGGAGGATCTTACGTCTAGAGGAGAGTTGTAGGTCCTTTCCATCATGTTGATCTTGGGTGCCTCAAGGATTGCTTTGGGCAAAGATAAGGCCCACTGCATGCCCCAGATTGCAAGAGGCCTCATATATATAAGGGACCGGTAGTGTCCATCAATCGTCCAGCCTTCTGGAGTCTGGAACCAGTACCTGCACATAATAATGAAGACAGTTATATCTATCAAGTTTGCCACATCGCATGTATACCCAGAACAACAAAGCACCCTGTACAGTCAGTCAGAGTTGCCATACTGAACAATGTTATAACTTTAGTACATGGACAGCTTTGGGATGGGGTCACTGCCTAACTGGTTTTTAATTGATGACCATCTAGAACATGCTTTTGATACTTGACAATTTTGTATTATTAATACATTATTTCATTATCGTTGCTCTAAAACAAGGGACCATTGCTTAGTGTAATGATAAAATCTCAGGTTGGCAAGCGTGAGAACACAGGTTGTAGTTTGTAAGTGGCCACCTCTGCCAAATCTAATCCCAAGACCCCAGATAGCTGGGACCAACATTGAGTAATGGCTTTTCTTTTCTTCTTATTACTGCTAAAAGAAGAAACAATGGTGCAACTTTACTGCATTGGACACCTAGATTAAGGGACAAGTAAAGACAATTCTAATGTCAACTGAGAATTTTTATTGATAAGAGAACAAATTCAGGTTTTTCAAAACAATGGGATGCATTATAGATACGGAAACCAAAAAAGGTTCTTGATGTGTTATGAAGCAAGTGCACCATATTACATTCATTTTGGTGGTTGCACGTAAAGTGAATTGATAAAAAAATTCCATGGAAAAAACTGCTATTTTATGATGTTTGGCTGCATGGAAAATGACCATGGAAACAAATGTTTCCAAAACATTAGTAGCAGTTTCAGGAAAATGGACATCCCTTCCCTTCTAAGTCAAAACATTAGTAGCATCTGTGTTCCTCTGTTATAATGCAAAACCAAATGCAACCTAACTACAGAACAGTAGATTTATCTTATGAACATTAATTTTTTTGGTCGATAATCTTGTGAACATTCCAATCATAAACATTAATATCTTATGGCTAGCGATGCAATATGGAGCAGAGTGTTGTGCAATCAAGAAAAAACATGTCCAGAAAATGAGTGGCAGAAATGCATATGCCGATGATGGATGGGTGGAAAAAACTAGAAAGGATAGGGTCAGAAGTGAAGTCATCTGAAAGTAAACTGAGATGGATTGTTACATGCATAGAAGACCATCTAAAGCACCCATGAAAAGAAGAAACTAATGCAAGTTGAAGGGGCTAGAATGGCTAGGGATAGACCAAAACAGGGCTGCAAATGAATCAGATTTTGATCTGATCCGATTCGAATCCAATTTGTTTATACCAAATCCAAATATGCAATTACCATTAACGAATCAATTGGGTTGAATTCGGATAGGCCCCTAATTCAATCTGATTCAATATATATATATATATATATATATAAAAGACGGCTATTTATGTCATTATCTTTGACACAAGGAAAAAAAGTAAAAAACAATAATTACCTTGTCCAAGGTGGCCAATAATGATCCTAGGCTACATTCTATGATGACTAAAAAGACAAAATATAAAGATAAAAAAAAGAAACTTAAATGCAAAAAAAGGGTTTAAATCCAAGAATGTTCAAAAAAACAAAGGGTTTCTTCTTCAGTCAGGATCTGTGTTCACACTTAGCAGGAGATACAGTCATACAAAGCCTTTTTCTTCATTCTTCCTAAACCCCACTGTAACTTCTGGGTTTGTTCTTCCCAAATGCTCATGCCAGGCCCAAGCATCTAACAGTGCTTTCTCATCTCCATTCAATGCAAAGGTTTATTTTTTGTTCTTCCTAAATCCATCGTGGTTGTGCCAATACAAATTTCGTTCTTTCCAAACGCTCATGCCCAATGGCCCAACATTGCTTCTTTTTCTTCAATCATTAGTCTCACTCTCCATCTTCTTACAATATTGTAGATAGAGTCAAATTGAATACAAATTAGATATCTGACAATGAAAGCAAATTGAATTCAAATAGGAGTCTGTATATCCATCAGATTCACCATGTAGTTTTCCTGATCCACTTGGCATGACTTGGGTTTGTGACCACAGACTCCACACCATTAATGATATATCCAAGCATACTTTGCCTGCCTATGCAAATCTGTGTAGATTGAGCCCACTCAAGATAATTGGCACCATCTAATTTTAAAGAGGCCACCAGCATTTGGGGCTCTCCTCACCAACGCATGTAATAAAGTTTTGATCAACAATAAAATTATTCCCTTAAGTGTCCATGAACCATCAAATCCTTTGATCCACAATTACTTCTAGTTCAAGAACCACAATATACTAAAGATCTTGATCTACAATCAAGATCTCCCAAATCTGTACAGTGAAACACTACCCTAAGCCAATATCCACTATGAGAAACTTGGGACACTCGCTCCAAAATCCCCAGAAGCCCATAAATACACAACTGCCTCCAAAAACTTGTAAAAGAGACTGATCTAGGTCTGAGCACCACTTCAAACTCTCTTGAGACTTCAATCAACCCAAGGAAGCCAATGGAACTCTGATTTTCCTCGATTTTTGGGTAGAGTCTCTGAGATCCTCTCAGGCACCCAAAGTAGCAAATCAATCTCCAAAATTCCTTGAAAATCAGGCAGAATTAACAGTATAGACCATCCCTTCTATGTCTCCCTTGAATAATTGGGTGAGGAAGAAAGAAGAGAAAAGAGAGAGAAAAAGAGAAATCAGTAATGGGAGCAATCAAACAATGGGATGTGTGTTCCCTACTTATATAAGTAACTGTATTACATGAGAAAAAGTTGCATATACCCATGGCTAACAGCAACATAAAATAAAAAAAAAATGAAAGCATAAAAGTATGTGGGCTAATGTACTGGAATACCCTGTAAAAGCAGAAATAGAAGCTACCTAATAACATCTATGACATGAACCATTCAAAGGAACCTAAAAGATATTAGTTGTGCCACTGCACCAACTCTCTCCCTCTCTCTCTCTCCATGTTTGGAATAGAGTTTAGGTTGAACACAAACATCCGGGCTGTGTGTGGACAAGGCCCAGGAAACTTTACATCTTATCTACTTATTGTAGTTGAATGTACAAACAAAACTGTAAACAATCTAATCAGAAGTATTTAGCAAGACCCATCCTTCAAGCAGAGGCAGAAACCTTAACCTCATGAAAAATACAAGTATAGCATTCTATGCAAACAAGAACACATTTTAAAATGCATATATCACATTGCAGACAAGCCATGTTTGGTGCTGCTGTTAGTATAGCTGTAGAAGAAGCTAAAGTAACTAATGTATTGTTATCCTGTTATTACATGCATTACTCAAGGCTTGTGTTACTAAAAAAATTCATCCACTTGTACAATGTTTCTAGCTTAAACTTCAGAGAAAGCTCCTTTTTATTCAAAAGAAGAGACTTGATTTCTTTTTTATCAAAAAGCAGTGGAGGTTTTAGCTCCTTTCTTATTGAATCCCAAGTGCCAAACCAAAACAAAAATCAGCATTGAACTTCCTTTCTTTTTTTCATTTTTTGTGGGAGTGAGGGCTGTTTGTGGGTGTGTTCAGAGAATGCAATAAACCTGACACTAGGACATTTCTAATGGATGGCAAAATTAGCCAAAATGCAATCTACCAGGAAAAGAACATACCCGAATCCCTCTTCTGACCAGCCTGCAGTGAAAATACCTTCAGCAGTTATAAATGCTTGTTCCTCCATACCAGCTAAAATCATTGTAGCTGCCAAACCATATGTGACACCTGTCCAGATTTCGCGTGACTGCATGCAAGACAGATTTACCTTTCCATTGAGATGCATTCCATTTACAGCACCCATCCTGCCTCCTCTGATTTTCATAACATTGAAATCATATATTTTACTGAGTGTGCTTCTAATTTTGAAATCATCAAAAAGGGAAGGCATGCCTGAAGAAGCTGTATACCATTGTCCTGCCAGCTGATCCGCTTGTATAGATTTACTGTTGCTGCTTGATCCACTATCATAGTTAAAATATGATCCATTCCACAGCTTTTCTTCAAACACAGACTTGGCCTTTGCAAATTTGCTTTTGCACTTTTCAGCAAAGTCCTTATCACCAACACGAAGAGCCATTGCAGCTGCAGCTTGGAGTGCAGCAAGCCATAGGCAGCCACAGTAAGCACTGATACCATGAACAGTCCAAGCATCATAAGTTTGATCTGGGAATCCATCATTCTCAATGAGACCATCACCATCCCTATCAAATTGTTCCATGTACTCCATTGCAGCACGAACAGCTGGCCACACATCCACTGCAAATGACAGGTCCTCTGTTGCAGTGAAGTCTCTATACACCTGAAGCACAAATTTTGGGTTGAGGTCTTTCCATCTACTTGTATCATGTATGTTATATGCATTCATTTCATGCCATGGGTCATGTGTGCCCAGATCGTGAGGAACAGCTCCTCTAACCTTTCGGATTCCTGAATTGCCCTCTGCCAGAAATTTGACTTTTCTTCCATCCTCAGATAAGACAGCTTTGGCAAACTCACGCTGAATGCTCAACTCAATTTTGGGGAACAAAGCAAGAAGAGCAAAAGATGCATAGAAATGCACATCATATGTGCACCACATTATATATTCTACTCCTTCCAAATATAGAAACCCACCAACATCATCATCATCTGGATCTGACCATGCTCTATGATATAAAGGAATATATCCATTTTTCCTCTCTTGAGATATTGCTGAATAATTTTTGCATAAAGATCTTGTGACTTTTTTTTCATCGTTATCTTTAACTTCATTTGCAGAAGTACTTTCATTATGGTTAAGTATAATATGTGCTACAGACGCACCTTGTCCAGATATCTTGCCTGAAGTAACACTAACATCTGAATTCTCTCTGTTTTTTGATTTGTGCTGATAATCACCAAAGTGAGACCTAAAATCTGTATCTGATGATGGTGAATCTGTATAAGAAAATGATATAATGGTCATGATGCTATCTTAATAGTACATGCAGACAAATTATACCAGTCAATTTGGTAGCAAATTTGAACAAAAAAAAGTCATTCATCTTTTCCAATTGCTGAATCTTAGGTTTGCATTAAATCAGTATTTTAAAGCTCCAAATGGAAAGACTGCAACACCAATAGAGCAGATTTTCTAAAGAAACCAGTTTGATTCATTCCATCAACACCCAATTTATGTATGTATTAAGTAGGTCAACATTTGCATTCACATATAGGAGGCTTTCAAGTCAATACCCAGGTACTTCTTGCATGGTTTTGTGGACCATAGTCCTTTAGCTTTGGTGGTTCAACCAGTAAACCAATCAAACCATTGGTTTGTGTTAAACCAGATATTGCAAAATAACATTATTAAGCTACAGGTTCCAGAGTATTAATATTCTTTGCTTTATTTAATAAAATATATTGTTTATATTGCATATAATGGTACAGATTCTCTATGAAAGGAGATCTTCAAGAAACTAAACTTTCTCTACCAACTCAAGTTTCCAATTAATGGTTATAAATAAAAGGGTGAGCACTTCAAGTTTTCATTCTAAAATATAAGACAGTAAATTTTTATGACAGAAAAATTATGAATTTATTTGCTATTTTCTCACAGCAGTTAAAGCCACGCCATTTATCATGATTTAATGCCCACAATTATGGGACCCAAATATTTAAGAGAGATTTTCCAAATTTGTCTTATCCAACTTATTTTTCTTTACCATTTCCTTTAATCCTATCCTAACCATGTATCTTATTTTTCTTCATTATACTGCCTTCTATTTCTCATGTTTCGTTAAATTTATCTATCATTATGAAGTTATCAAGTGCATTCCCAACCCATCTACAATAACATTGGTTCAGTTTTAGGTTTGTTTTGAAAATTTGACAGCAAGGCAGCATTATGAACATTAGGAAAAGAAGCATCACCCAGTTTTTTGTAACTTTAGCTCCAATTAAATATGCTAGTATCTATGCTAATGTGTGTGTGCGTGTGGAGAGAGTGTAGGCATGGCATACTCACTTGGAAACTATGAAGACCTGAAATTTTAGTGTAAAAGATGTACCTGTCCAAACTGTGCCTCCAGCAACCAAAAAGTAAAGTTCATTAAACAATGTAAATTTGTACCTGCAACCATTATGAAACATTATGAATATGACATGGACCAACTCCATAATGACTTCAAAATTTTCACATATTATTAATTCCAAAGTAAACTCGTCCAGATGGGTACATAGGTGTGCAACTTGTTTGGCTGATGGTTTGGCTATACAAGGGATTAATAGACAGTAAATATTTTGTGCTCAAATGTAAAAGGGATGGTGGTTTGAGATTATAGTTCTCTTTTTTCTTTTGTATCCACAACCTATTGTTGTAACTCTCTTAATTTTTAATGAATGAGTTTTTGCTCATAAAAAAAAAGCAAATTCAGTAACCTGCATACAACTTATGTTCCATAAAACTAACATAACAGTAATATTTTGAAACAGAACACAGGATATCTAAACTTTTTTCAGAGAGGGGGTATTGTTGGGGACTTGGGGTTCATGTTTGTCCAAACTGGCCTAGCAGGCAGGCCAGCCTATACAACCAAAACCTGTTGATGGATGATGTTTGTTGAGACTTGGCTTATAACACTTGTTTTGTTTTAAAAGTTCAGTTAGAGTTATTGGGCCCTAGGCCCATTAGTTAATGTTTCGTTAAGAGTGTTTTTTATGTTGATTAGTAGTAGCCAACTTACTAAGGGTATACGTGTCATTGTAATTAGATTTTTTTTGTGAATATTTAAGATAATGAAAGGGGCGGCCAGATCTGATTTTGGCCTTTTCCCACTCTTTTCAATTTCTCTCCTCTTCTCTGCAAAAAGACAAAAACTTCTTTTCTCTTTCTTTTCTTTCACAGGTTTCAAATCGGATTGAAGTTTTGCACTTTCTACTTGGTATCAGGGCATCTTTAGAGGTTTTTTTAGTTGTTCCATCATGCAGCCCTAGATCAGCCAACTGCATGATGATTTAAAGAGCTGATTGAGGACTTCAAGAGAGCCCAGTTTTTGGATATTTTTTAGTGGATCTACAATCCCTTGTAACATATCTAGGGTCCATCACCAAAATCAGAAAGAACTGGAGAAAGGAGAAGAGTCTTGATTGTAGTAGGACTTTTCAATTTTGACCAAGGGGCGCTCTATTTTTTGGTTTTCTTGGTATTTTCTGAATAGAGTGGTTCAAGTCCTAGGTTTTTCTGAGGTTTCTAGAGGGAGTAGTAGCCTCTTCTTTTCCTTCTACTTGCTCCCACGGAGAAGAGAATCTTGGTGGGAGAGCTTTTGAGGTATTAGGAGGATGGTTGGGGCTTATAAAGAGGATAAATCTTTTTTCTTTCATCTCCAATTGATTTCCTAAACTGTTCTAAGAATTATAGAGGGTTAATGGAGTTGAATACAAATCCACAGGTGAAATGGGACTAGGTGGAGGAGGTGCTAGTGACCCTTTCAGGGTAGGGACCATCACTATAATTAAGTTGGATGGTACAAACTACTTAAAATGGTCTCAATCAGCAAAGATGGCTATTGGAGCTCATGGAAAGTTGGGGTATGTCACCATTGAAGAGAAGAAAACTGAGACTAACTACTCCCGGTGGGTACAAGAGAGCTACATGATGATGACCTAGCTGTGCAATTCTATGCTATCCCATACAAGTAAGAACTTTCAATGGGCTAACACAGCTAAGGAGATTTGGGACAGAGTAGTAGAAACTTATTCACAGAGTGAGAATGTTGTTAGAGTCTACCAGTTGAGGAAATTAGGTGATTGCTACTAGGCAGGAAGATAAGCCTGTTGCAGTTCATTTTTCAGCCCTCAAAACCTTATGGTAGGAGATAGATCATTTGGAAACTGTGGTTTGGGAGAGTAGTAAAGATGTAACCACTTATCAAAAGCCGGTATAGAAGAATAGAGTGTTTGAGTTTCTAGCAAGACTCGGCCTAGAGTATGACATTGTATGATAGTGCAACTCTCTCTCAAGCATATGCATTTGTGTCTAGAGAGGGGAGTAGGAGGAATGTGATGATGAGAAACCTAAGCCCTGAGCAAAATGGCTATGGTCAACACAGTGAAACCTAAGCCGAGTGGGGATAAGGGTGGCAATGAACCTAGAAAAGAGGACAAGGACTTGATCAGTGATTATTATAAGGAACCTAAGTATAGTAGAGATACCTCTTGGAAGCTCTACCCATACCTTATACCAAGTTGGCTCATAAACAAGAAGGGGATTGTTAATATGGCAGTGACTGGTGATTCATCAGGAATACCTACTACAACTTCTCTAGAATCTATTGCAACAACTGTAGTTAGGGCATAATTGGAGAGATATAGACAATTTCTGAGTCAGAGAGATACAACCAGTTCTAGCTCATCATCGGGTGGACAACAAGGTGTAGGTGGCTCAAGAGGTAGTCATTCTAATTCGTTTGCACATACAAGTAATTCACATGTAACTGCAAACTATGCCTCCACTACAGGTAAGGGGGGACCTCCCTGGATTAAAGACTCAGGAGCCTCAAAACACATCACCAATATTTCCACCATTTTCTACTCATACCATCTCAGCTCTGGTAAAGATAGAGTTTCCACAACTGATGGATCCCATGTTCCCATTGTTGGGAAGGGGTCTGTCAAGATAAATGATACCATTACCCTACCTTTCGTACTCCATGTCCCTAGACTAGGCACCAACCTTTTATCTCTTAGTAGTTTGACAAAGAATTTGAATTGTTCAGTAATTTTTTTTCTCTTGGTCATTGTGTTTTGCAGGATCTAAAATCAAAGAGGATGATTTGGAGTGGTTGTGAGGTGAAAGGAATCTATCTTCTTGATGTGCTTCCCATTCATCAAAGTCATCATGTCAATAGGGATAATGAGTCAAAGTCAGTGGGTCAAATTATGCTTTGGCATAACTGGTTAGGGCACTTCTATTTTGCTTCTTTGCGCTTTTTTGTTTGCAAAGTTTTTTGAGTCTGCTAGGTTGTCTAGTTTAGAGTGTAAGGGTTGTCAACTTGAAAAACATTGTAGACATTCTTTTAAAGCAAGCAAATAAAAGATGTTTTTCAATTTTTGACATAGTTCATACTAATGTGTAGGGACCATATCACATTCCTTCTATGGGTGGCTACCATAATTTTCTCTTGTTTGTTAATGATTATTCTCGGTGCTCTTGGATATACTTGATGAAATCTCGTGATGAGGTACCTTTTTTGGTACAATAACTCCACCATATGGTGTTAATGTAGTTTGGAGTACAAGTGAAAGTGTTTAGATCAAATAATGCTAGGGAATAATTTGAGAAAAAACTGGCATCATACTTATTGGAGCATGGAGTAGTCCATCAAAGTAGTTAAACATACACTCCACAACAAAATGGTGTAGCAAAAAGGAAGAACAAACATATTATGGAAGTAGCAAGAAGTATGATGGTGAGCTCTGCAATTCCAGTTCGGTTTTGGGGTGATGCAGCCCTTACAACAGTCTTCTTGATTAATTGGGTACCCTTTCATATTCTTGGATACACTACTCCGTTCAGCCTTCTTTTTTCCTGAGGGGGAGATGTTCCATGTTCCTTTAAGGATATTTGAATGTGTATGCTTTGTCCATATTCTTGGTCCTCACCACTCAAAGCTGGACCCTAAGGTGAAGAAGTGTGTTTTCCTTGGGTATGTAAGAAATTAAAAAAGGTATTGCTATAATCCGGTCTCAAGGAGTCAGTATGTCACCATGGATGTCACTTTCTTTGAGTCCACACCCTTTTTCTCTAGGAGTCTTTCTCAAGAGGTGTGTTTTGGGGAAGGGAGTGAGCAATCTACACCACTTCCCATTCTAGCTCCTTTGTCCACTCTAGTGTTTGACCCACCGACTCCACCTACTTTGTCGGCTCCACTGCATCCTGCTTCTTAGTTTTTTTACACAACATTGCCTATGACAACACAAGGAACTTGATTCCACAACAGAGGAACCTACGCCACTTCCTATCGGTATCGAAGATTGCAGGTTTGATTGACATAGACCCAAGTATGCCTCTTGCTCCACCTGATGGTTCAGTTCCTGTTGATAGTACCACCCCTGTTCCTAACACCATTGCAGGTGACTTAGACTTCCCTATTACATTCCAAAAGAGGAAGTGGAAGTGTACAACTCATTGCATTTCACATCATCTTTCCTACAATGGACTATCACCCTCCTACCAGGCCTTCTTTCCTCCCTTGACTCTATGTCTAAAGTCTAAACCCAGGAGTGTTAATGAGTCCCTCTCCAAACCTAAGTAGAAGATAGCTATGCAAGAGGAAATGGAAGCATTGATTAAAAATTAGACATGGGAGGTTGTGGATTTACTTGATGGCAAGGAGACAGTTGGATGTAGATGAGTTTATATAGTTAAGTACAAAGTTGATGAAAGTATAGAAAGGTACAAGGCGAGGCTAGTTGTAAAAGGGTATACTCAAGACTTATGGGATAGACTACTTGGAGAACTTTGCACCGGTGGCCAAGATGAGTTCAGTTAAAATCCTATTATCTCAAGAGCAACCTACTCTTGGCCCCTCTTCTAGTTGGTTTTTACAATGAGAACTTTAAGTGGAATCAACAGTGTTTTAACTGAACTTTAAGTTCCTGGACTGTTTAATTGCTGCAAGTGGAATCAACAGTGTTTTCCTCATTTCAGAAGCAGAATTGTTTGGCGTTTAGTGTCCTAATTGTGATTGTGAGTGGTAGTAGTTGAGTAGGGACAAGTCTTGTGCACCAGTTGGTCCTATTTTGTCCTATAGAACTTTTTCTTAATGGAAATTGATGACTTTGCTTCATCCAGGGTAACATCAACCCGTAGTACAACTAGTACGGATGTTGAAATATGATGGTTCCTATGCCAATTACACCTCTAAATGGCCTGAACTACCTAGAGTGGGCTAAAGATGTAAAACTTTATGTTACAGCTAGGGGAAAAGCCGATTACATAAACTGAAGAGTGAAAGAACCTAAGAGTTGGACAGCAGAACATGATAGGTGGGACCAAGAGAACAGTATGGTGATGCCCTAGATTCTTGCAGCCATGGAACCTGATGTGAAGAACTTTATATGGGCAGACATTACTAGTGAAATGTGGGAACAAGCCAAAACCACCTACTCTGAGCAAAGGCACTATGCCAAGATTGACCAGTTACAAGCTGAATCCTCAACCTGTAAACAAGGTAACCGTAGTTTGTCAGCCTATTATTCAGCCCTTACTTCAGTATGGAAGGAGTTGGACCACTATCAGGCTATAGAGTGGAAACATGATGGTGATGCTAAAGCCTACAAGAAGTTGGTTTCTCAACAGCGGGTTTTTGCTTTCTTGTTGGGATTAAACCCCGTATCTTAGAGTTCAGATTTTGGAAAGTAAAGAATTGCCTTCAGTTCAAGAGGTGTATGCCCTTGTCCAATTTGAGGAAAATAGACGATGTGTGATGGTTACAATTGAGGGGGAGCAACAGGTGGCATCAGCTGCAATGGGTGGTAACAATATGAGAAAGAAGAGTGCTTCCAAGAAAGTCGATGACAAGAACCAATTGTTCTATACCCGCTGCCAGCGTTCAAGACACATGCAACACATGCTGACAGCACCCTAAACTAACAACACTCTAACAGCAGAAAATAACAACTTTAACAACAGTCCATAACCCAGTTCAGCAAGATAGGACAAAGCATATGAAGTGGATAGACATTTTATAAGGGAAAGAGTGACATTAGGAGAAATGTGTCTACCATATGTTGCATTTGACTTATAGCTAGCTGATGTTCTCACAAAAGGTATTGCAAGAAACAAGCTCAAGCATGATCTATGCAAGTTGGGAATGTGTGACATCTATTCCCAACTTGAGGGGGAGTGTTGAGATTCAACTGATAACACTTGTTTTGTTTTTAAAGTTCAGCTAGAGTTATTGGGGCCATGGCCCATTAGTTTATGTCTTGTTAAGAGTGTTTTTTATGTTGATTAGTAGTAGCCGACTTACTAAGGGTATACATGTCCTTTTGTAAGTATATAAGATAATGAAAGAGATGGCCAGATCTGATTTTGGCTTACTCCCATTCTTTTCAATTTTTCTCTTCTTCCCTTCTTTGCAAAAACTTCTTTTCTCTTTCTTTTCTTCCACAGGTTTCAAATCAGATTGAAGTTTTGCACTTTGTACTATGTTAATCTCGAACAAAAGCAGTACTTTGCTTTGGACCCGGCTAATTGGTTTAAATGTCTGGATTTGATCAGTTTAATCCACTTTCTTTTTGATTAGTAACTGTAGGAATATTAATTGAATAAAATAATGACTATGTGCAATATGCCAAGCAGCCCAAGAATATAGGCTGGCCTCAACCACCTAACCCAATCCCTTGTTCTTTACAACTTCTATCTTATGGTTCAATAGCCCAATCGGCTTTTACATATTATTCAAGTCTGAGTTGACAGCACCATTTAAGGCATTTGTGGGGACATCCAGGAATGGCAGTAACCCCTGCTCCCTCTTCTTTTTGTCAAAGAAGAGAGATGAACAGTATTGATCCTGTCAAGAAGTACACATAATAGCATATAAGAATAAATATGTGGGTCTATCATATCCCTAATCCTGAAAACATAAATTACCATTCTGGAATTCTATCATCTCTGAGGATAGGATTTTGCCATTTCTCTATCTCTTCCTCCCACCATTTATAATCTGACAAAATTTCAAAACAATATCAGAAAAAAACAACTCCTGATCAAAACTATAATTGACACAATTGTCTGGAAAACCAGAAGAGATGGTGATGCCAATTTTAGGATTAAATTCTTAGCAGCTATTACAATTATCCACAACTTCAGTAAAAATAGAACATGTGTACCAATGTATATTACATACTCATCAATGCATCGTGTGCAATATCAAGAGCTGATCTTTCAGAAGTTCCATAAAATTTTGTATACCTCCTGCAATAAAAGGATACATCAAGACAATGCACACCAAGAATTGAGTTTAAGATATTATACATTTATTCCTTCTATTATTTTTTCCCTTACCAGCAATGTTCTGAAAATCTAATTGTGTCATAAATTGTAGAGAAATTTGAAATGAGCCATTGTGAATTTAATCCTAAAAATGTTTATATGTTTAGAAAGCATCTATATGTTTAGAATATAGAATAAAAACTTATCTCTAAACAAATTGGTTTTACCCCATTTTGAATGCATATCAACCATATAAGTAATTAATGCAATAAAATTTCAACTTGTAAATAATAGGTAGATGATATTATCAAGCTTGATTCAAAGTCAAACCCACATATAATGAAAAGTAAAATGTTTGGAAAACTCGTATCCATATACCCATCCTAGATTTTGAGAAAYATAGAGCCATTTATATATTTCCCTTTTCCACGTAACTTTGGAGCGAAGTTGATGGTATCTTAAATACCTAATACCTGATGAAATAAAATGTTCCAAACAGGCTGACCATAGTTGTTAAGGCAACACCTACGGTGGATAATTATTAAGGAACTATGGTTATGGAATCTAGGGAACTACCCTAGGATATATGCCTTTTACTTATAAAAACATCGCCTGGCCTCGCCTTGGTGCCTTGAAAACTATGAAACTCACATAAACAGGGAAATAAACTGCACAACTGGTCACCTGTGATAGGAATTTCCCTTTAAAAATTTTACTTTTGGTGATGACCAAGCTAAAGCAAATGCAACAGTGCACTTTCCATGAGGTTCTACCCATGCGGATGCTGATACTGCTGCGCAAAGAGTATCTCCAGGTGATGATGGCATGGTAGGTCCAGCATTGAAGTTTTCCCGTTCAAAATACCCATCCTTGAGAAAAAACATGGACAAAAGCCTCTACTCATCAAGTAATGATAATAACATCAATATTAAAAGGAACAGCGGCATACAAGAAAAAAGAAAACCAGCCTACAAAGACATTGGGGTATCCAGGAAAGCGAGAGAGCTGAAAATGACTCTTTTCTATAGGCATAGTGAAGAAATGGTAACTAGCAGAAATTCATTACCTGCACCATTTTGCCCCATATATCCTTAGCAGTAACATGGTCTGTGTCTGACAGCCCAAAACATGGCAAAACAGTCACATTCACATTTTGAGTTTCACATGAAGCTATAGCAAAAGTAACAGGAGGGTTATCTTTTGCAGTCCTGCAATGTTTCCACCAGAGTCAGAAATAGCATTTTATGAATAACAAAACTTTATTGAGGAAATATTTTCAGAGTTAGAAATAGTATCACACCATGATATATTAGGGATTTGTAATAGAATACCACAAAAGCTACTGACAAAGAAATAAGATGGTCATGAAATAACTAATGCAACCTCCTAGAAAACCAACAAGATAAAACTGCAATTAACTCAGGTGTATGAAGGGGAAAGCATAAAAAGAACCATAACAAGATGTCCATTTGAAGGGAAAATACAGCAGCAATGAGATGCCATAAGTTGGGTTCAGGGTTGCCAGGATCACAATAAATGGCCCAAGGGAAATCTGCTAACCAGCCGTCATAATAGAGCTATCAAGGGTTGACAACTTGCTTGTGATGAAGAAGTACGCCAGACACTCCATCTTCAGCTCTATCAGAGAAAAGGAAAAAGTTCATATCAGCTTCTAAATATGTAAAGAGTCAAAACTTCCAAATATAGAATATATATGGCATGTACTAACATGAAAGGTTCATTCACATGATCTCCTGATAGATGTGACATCCCTCCAATTGAATTCTGTGCAAACAAAAAGAAGATGAACAATGAATTCCTCAATATCCATAATTATAGTGTGCTCAAATAGTGCCTGAATCAAAAACTCAATCTGGCATAGAGAAGTTTCCTCACCGCCCAGGTCAATAGAAGGCTGACTTTTGCCCTTTCTCTCCCAGTGTTTACCAACTGCAATAGGAATCGTGCAACAGTCATCCAATTAGAATAAAAATCATTATCAAATCTTCATTAGGTAAGACGACCATAATGTGGCTAACTTCCAATGACTCAATTAAGAATATCTCTATAAGGAGATCAAATGACAACTTGTTAGTGTAAGCATGCTTTCTGCCAGCAAAGGGGACAGAAACTAGCCTGTTAGTAGCTCAAAACATATGATGATAGGGTAATCATCTCTGGAATAATGAGAATAAAAGTTAATGCAAAAAGTGCATTCCAAAACTACATATTTATGGTCTAGATGTGTCAAGGGTTCAGGGTACTTATGTCTAGAATAAAAGAGAAAGTAGTAACTAAGGAATCATCAACTTAGATGGTTAAGAAATTACTTTCTGAGTTAAACAAGAACTTGTTATTTCATCAGGATCCAAAACAGCACTTAAATATCAGTTCCCATACTGCATATTGCATCATGATAATGCAGAGCCCAATTGGAATACTGAGTAATGCTTTGCTTCTTTTTTCAATTAACGTTTCAGGTGGCAGGGTTGTTATAGTAGTTTTTTTTCTCTTTTTTTTTTTCTTTTTGATTTTGAACAGTGGTTGTTATGGTAGTTTCATTTGATCAGAGTTTGGTTCAGTCTTGATATGTTATAGTCCTTTATAGTCTGTCACCATTTGTTCAGCTTTCCTTAGCCAATAGGTGTAGTAAAGTCTGATAAATAGTTAGAAGCTTTATCGGTGAAAGGGCATATTTTAGTCATATAACTTTTCTTAGAACCGTCCAGAAAAGTGTATCTATTTTTCTGTGTTACACAAGCTAATGAAGTTTTGGCACATATTGCTGCTATAAAGGATGGAATTCTGTTTTTTCCACAAGAATTTATTCCTTCTTTTATTTTTTGCTTACTTTTTTTTTTATTTTGTTCAGTGACCTTTGGTCTAAACTTGTTAACTCAGAGAGGAGGGGGTTGAATACCCTAATCATTGTGTATGACTTCATTCACACACATGAACATGGATGGTACATCCACATGCATGTGTATGGATTAACAGATACTATGTATTCGCATTTAGACACATTTGATGGGTCCATCAGACCTTGGTATGCAGGAGATGGAGTCATTTTTGGTTAATCACTGTAAAAAAGAAACCTGCTCCAGGTGCAGGCAGGATTCAATCCCAAGTCTCCGCTACAACCAGCAGGAGACCTTGGAGCTGTGCATGGATTGCGGCTCTTTAGTCAATTTAAGAAGAGAGGAATAACAGAATTTTCATTGATAAAAGAACCAAGGAAAAGATCATTGAGAATGCTTTTTTTAGGGTCATAAGTTGGGTGAAGATTTTGGAGATTTTTAAGCCTTTCTCCAAAGACAATTTAAGGGGCTAGCAAGTGATAGAAGATTCAGGTTCTAACAGACTAAGGATTGTAAAGGAGTGGGTGCCTCCAACTACAAGGCCTTTCAAACTTAATTTTGATGATTGTAGCATGGGTAACCCTGACCCCTCAGGGATACGGGGAGTTATTAGAGATATATCAGATGCATTTATTGCTATCTATTCTGGCCAAATAGGTGAAAGGGACTCCACAATGGTATAATTTTAAGCAGTCCTCCAAGGCCTAAAAATTTGCAAGAATCATAATCTTCACAATTTAGAAGTTGAAGGGAACTCTAGGGTAGTGATAAGATGGTTGAAGAACAGCTCAATAGGAACATGGCAACATAGATACACTCTCAGGCAGTCAGGCTGGCTCTAACCCTAGCAAGAGAGTTGGGAGTGACACAAAACATAGGACAGCAAACAAAATGGCTAATACTTTGGCTCAGCAAGGGGTAAGCGGGGAAAATTTGTTTCAGTGAAATATGTACAATTTTCCCCATGGGAAAAAGTTGAGACAGCACTGCTGCTAGCCCCCTCTGTTGTAATTTTATTGTGAACATTTCTTAATTTTCTTAACAAAAGTGCAAGTTACCTTTCAGAAAAAAAAAAAAAAAAAAACAAAAAAAAGAGTGCTTTACAAGCAAAACCCTGTTGCTCCTCAGCACAATTAAATAGCTTTAACACTTTATTGTTATCAACTGACGGTGGCTCAGTTGGTAGGTGCTCTGGCTGTTTGTAGCAGTGACCTGGGATATCCCGCTGCCACCAGGGTTGGGGGCATGGGCTACCCCCATTATTAGTATTATTATTGCTGTTGTCGTTGTTGTTGTAAGTGATATTCAATTCCTGTCAACACATTATCAAGTAAATAAATAAAATTCTCAAATTGAACAATTGGAATGAAATCATTTTCCCCATGTCCACAAATTCTCAGTTCCCATTGTATCTTCAGTATTCATCTAAGATTTTTCATAGAACAAACATGATGAAGAGAGGGTTTTCTAAAAGGTTTCAGAGGATATCCTTCTAATAGAAACAAATCTTACCGTATAAACAAATACAGCAGTCGGAAGACTGCTTTCTTTATAATTATGCGGTATGAACGGTGATATTTGACGACAAGAGACCTTCAACTCAGGGTCCGGTTCACCTAAAGATAAGAATTCACATATTATAAAAATATTGAACTGAAGAAAAGATCAAAGTAGAATACTTAAAATGAAAGGTTGGCATGTCACAAAAGATTGAAATAGAAAGAGTACCATCATATATTGTCCATGCCCTAGGAAATAGAGCATGGTAAGTTGAATGCTGTCCACTCAAATTCCAACCCCATGATGATATACCCTGATCACCATTTTTCCTGAAAGAAGAATGAGAGTAAAACCAAAGCATAAATTTACATTTCTGTTTCTTGAGCCTACATGCATCTAAAATGCAATTCAAACAGAAAAGTACTTGTTCTTTAAATGAATGAACCTAATTGTCCATCCATTATAACCCAAGAAAGTCTGATATGGCATTTAAGAGTTAGCAAACTGAAGTTCTAATAGCTTGTGAAGTAGCTTGTGTTATTCAATCATGCATATCAATGTTGAGACTCTGAATCATAATTAGAAACTCACTTAATTCCTCTTGGCTAATGCTGGACTACATCAAACAAGCTCTTGTTTATTTAAATACAAGGTATCAAASACTGGTGCTAGATTAAACTGATAAGATATCCATCACTAGCCCCTCTAAAAGAAGAATGACATACATAAAATGATAGAGAAGCACATAACTTTTAAACAGACTCTCTAAAAATTCCTCTTACCCTAACCCTTCATGTTGACCAGGTGCTAAAACTGATGCATACTTTTTATTCCCTCCATCACGCGATATGAAAATCTGCAGCATGAAAAAACAAATGAATCAAATTATTAAGAGTAGAATCTTCTGTTTTGTTCATTACTAAGTCCATGAAGAATACAAAGTGACAGAACAAGAAGTGCAAACACAAAGGAACACAAGTACTTAGAGATTTACGGTAATGCAGATACTCTAAACATATTGAATTATGACCTAAGAAAATAATTATTTTTTCAATTGTGAAAAGGAGGTATTATTATTCTGTCTTCAACCTTATTATTATTATTACTGTTTTTATTATCGTTTAGGTTGTCTATTAATAATCTCCTAATTATCAAGAAACTGACGAATTGATTATGAATAACAGATTGCTAAGTTTATATGAAGAAACAAGTAAAGAATGAAAACAGAAAGAAAGTTTTGCTCATCCTAATACAGAAGCAGCAAGTAGCAATTAGTTGATCCTGATTTCTCAAAGAAAATTTTGCCCATCCAAATTAGTAGTATTGTTTGTTCTTATCAATATTTTCACCGTTTTGGAAAATGGTATGTTAAAAGTACCAACTTATTCATTAGTATATTAATTGATGTCCCTGTGAAATTATATCACAAATTTGCCCTCAAAATAAATATCACATTGATAGAATCTTGTCATTTATAATGTTCTTTTTTCATCTTCCCTTCAAATTCTGAACTCACCCTTTTTCTACTCCTTTTATGGTGGATAACTATGTTTCCTGTATAAATTTTCAAAAAAAAAAAAAAAAAAAACAAAAGATTATGAAGGCCTTCATGTGCCTTGCACATGGAAGGCTTAACATGTATTATCAAATTGTACAGTCCTGTTATTACTTTTTTAACTCTTAAATTTAAGTTCGAGAAACGTTATACCAACTACTAAATTTACTGAACCTACTCCTGCACAAGTATTTTAGGCATCTCAAAGAATGGGATGTTTATTCTGAACTTAACCTTGGAGATTTTGTTTGGTGGCAGATTCTTCCTGATTAGTCCTCAACCAAATTAAGCTCAGTAATTTAGTAAAGAAGCACACAAAGTATAATACAGATCAACATGTGTGGAGATGCATTTGTCTTGAATACAACAGCTTATAGCACAGATATATCAATGGACAGAAAGGAATATACCGAGAACTGATTGGCCATCACAGGAGAAGGCTCACATGAACCAGGAATGATCTGCCAATGCTTAAACTCCCCTCTAAAACCTCTTGATATGCTGCCACTTCTGTAATATAGACAAAAGTGTAACTCTATTGCCAAATGAAAAAACTAGAGATTATAGATAGTATTGGTATGCCAATGCCATAATCCACCAACTACATACCCCATGCCTCCAAGTGGGACCCCTTGAGATGCCGAGGGCTTACAACTTTCTTTTGTGAATGGATCAATCGGTGCTTTCTGTGAAGATTAGTCGCAGAATTTCAAAATTTAAATTCTGAATCTCAAGCTTTATCATCTCAAAAAGAAACCATCCAACTGCTAATTCAATTTAGCTGTCAATCAAAATCCTCATAAACAATGGAATGCATTAAAACATGATTTATTATTTTATATGACAACTGGAAAGAGAAAATTACCCTTCCATAAGATGCTTCCTCTCTGACATATGACCAAAGACGAAGGCCAAGACGAATCTGCAATTTAAGTCCCCATGAAGCAAGCAACTACTAAATGAGAACAAGGAAAAAGGGAGTGCAATTATACAATAACAAGATGTGCAGATTTTCGGTTTTTTCATCCTTTCAACTCAGGTTATAAAGAATAGGATACTTGACCATCTGTATTGCCTCCATAAATGTGACACTAAATTCTTTTAGTATGTTAGCATGACTGTTTAATCTCCTCCTCCAGGCTTGCTTTGGGGGTGCAGCACTATCATAGTCCAGCTGTGAGAAAGTAGCAGAAAAGAGTATTAGTCATAATACAATGAGAGCAACCAGAACTACTGGCTTGCATGAGCAGGAGAATATTGGAAAGCCAAAATGCCATGTTGCATCCATGTGAAATTCTTTTTCCCATCCTGAGTGCATTCCAAAACTGAAGAATACACTTGTCTCAGAAAGAAAGTACAGAAAACTTCCGACCTCAAATGAGAGTGAGAGTATACAAGTGAATATCACGTATTCCATCATATGATGAAAAAGTTCAAGCAAGACATGCTGTTTAGTCTATTAATCATAAAGAACTGAGGCTCAGGCAACTTTAAAAGCAACGCAAATGGATTATTTTGAAGTCACATAGCATAACGAGAATAGCACTAATCTTATTTTGTTAACTAAATTATACTTTATATGAAGTGAATGATACTAGTTTGATGGTTACCATCAATGTCAATTATAGCATCAATCATTCTTTTTGTTCACTGTAATTTATTTATTGCTCTAGTTGGATGAAAGTTCAGAATCTACAACTCTTTCAACTTTTAATTCAAATGCTAAAGTCAAGAAACCCACTAAAACAAAAGGGAAAGATAAGCAGAACTCAATTCCAAGTTCTGGGCACAAAGCCTGCAACAATGGTGTATCAAAACCAATGTACAGCACTAACAGAAGAAAACCAAATAATCTGTCAAATCATCCAGGTAAAAATTCAGTAGATTTCAGAATCGGTGAAGTGCTCACCAATTGCAAGGTCGCTCTGCTGACGTACTCCTCCGGAGGCCATGAATGCTTTCTACAGTGGAAGAGGTTTCCGCTAACCATGTTAAACGGAATTCAATCTCGTGAAGAACAAATAAGGAAAAATCCTTCTAGTCCAAAGTTTCTATGACCACAAGTCCACGAAGCTCCTATTAGGAACTGCAGGAATCCATTTTTATGAACATCCAGTGATCAGATCACCAAAACTTTGCGAGAAAGCGAAGTCACCAAACTTCTTCGGAACAGTATCTTCAAAGTCCAAACCACCGCAACACTTCTACGCAAAGTGCAAACCGGAATGGCTTCCCACGAATATATCTTAAACCGCAATCCTAAGAACTAAAAGAACTTGCTCTCCATCCACCAAAGTCCGGAACCGAAAAAATCACCAAATCAACAAACAAAATCCTTCAACCAGGAATACACCAGAACTCAAGCAAACCAGATCACGCAGCACTCGAATAAAAAGAAAACGGTACTTCGATCCAATTCAACTCCAGAGAAGAAAAAGAAAACGCAAAAAACAGAATCAAACTTCTCAGCGAATGAAATTGACGAGAATCCTCTGTAGCTACAGATCAATCTAAATCCCTACCAAAGATTCTCCACTAACAGCCTATCAAAACTCGAACGAACTCTCACTATGAACAAATTCAAATTAGAAGAAGGAAAGCACGAAAACAGTAACGATCTCTCGGTTCCCGTAAGATCACGAAGAAGCAGGATTTGTGTTAGAAAATCAAAAGAAAATCAGAGACGAGTTTTTGGGTGTGGCGTGTCGAATTGCTAGTCGGCTGTCTGCACAGAGCAACCACAGGAACGCTCTCTAACGCGCCATTTGTTGAATGCCGACTCTCAATTTAACTTCTTTTTCTAGAAGAGGTGAAAAAGGAGAGTAATAGAGGAAAAGGAGAGGAGGAATCTGATTGGTCACATTAAAGTCCCGAATTTATTTATATTAGATGAGAAAAGGCAGAGACGTTCGTGTGGGTGGTTCGAATACGCTGTGTGCGTATTGCGCATGGTCCCCTACCGTCCTACCGTCAACTCGACGTTGCTCGTGGGTACGTTGGAGTCAAAATTGGCACAGAGACGCCAGTGAAGCACCAGGTGTGAGTAGATGTTTCCATTGCATGATGGATGTGCCAGTGAAGCGCTCATTTGTGAGAACAGATCCTGTCACATAACCGGATATATAAACTGGACACCACTTTGTACGAATCTGGATATATTCCTCACATGAATCTTATATTTCAGCTGCATCTATATATGATATCATTCATGGAGATATATTCCTAATGGGCTAAAATGTGCATTAGGTTGGTGTGGAAATCGGTTTCAGTCAGTGCATGGTCCTTTTACAGCATTGCATTCGAAATATTTCTGTACCTATATATTTTATTCATGGGGAGGTATTCCCAATGCAAGGCTATAAAGACTGTTTGAACACGCCTTATACTAATAGAAGCCGAATTCGTTGGTGCGAGGAGGCTATGCGAGGAGTAAATTGAAGGGGATGAGAGATTCATCATATGGATGGCCAGTAGGGCGAAATTTCAAAAAATTTCTTTTTCCCATCTGGGAATCACATTTCCTGTTTTAGAAAATCTGCATTTTCAATGATCAATCTTGAACCAAGAATCAAACCAAATCTGAAACCAATAGGTAGGAGAATGAGGTACCTGATACGAAGAAACAATATATCCCAATGAAGGTGTTCACACACAAGGAAAACTCCAAAGACTGCTCCCACTGAATATGACACAGCGTAGGGTGGAGCAGAATCAGTAGGTTATTCACAAGAACCAAATCCTTCAGCAAGAATTCGATGAAGGGTATGTGAGCACAACTTTAGATCAGTTTTTCTTCATCAAGAACTCTTCTTGATCGCTCCTACAGTGGAGATCGAACTGGCAATGGCGGCAGCAGGAGGAGGGCACAAGAGCAGAAGATGGCACAGTCTTATTGTAGTTGTCTTCTCTCTTTCTGTGAACTGAGGTCTGTTGTGATGAGATGAATGGAGGTTCGCCCTCATCCTCCTTTTATAGCCTTAAAGAGAGCTCCTAAACTCATTAGGAGTTTCCTAATCCAAATCTGTATTTGGATCAGGACTTCTCTTTAAGAGATAAGGATAAGCCTTTATCTTATCTGTAAATTAGATCAGCCCCTTCTAATCTTATTAGGGGTTTCCAAATCCAAATCTGTATTTGGATATGGACTCTCTGAGTGGATAGGGATAACTCCCTATCATATCTGCTAATCCAAATCCCAGATCCGTTCCCTTCTTTAATTAATCAAATTAGACCAGTTCAAATTGGGCTTTAGGCCCATTAAGTCTATGTGCTCATTAACCTTCCAAACTGCTGCCCAGTTGGGTTTCCTTGTATGGCGTGGGACCCAAACATTGATCTACACATCAGCCACATGGGTTCAGCCTAGCCTCTGTTACAAGGCCTGGCCGAATTCACTGTTATGGGCAGTGAACCCCTGAGCCTATCATTGTGGGCTCTTAATGGGCCCAACACTTACACTAAGTGGTCCCTAGGCCAAGCCACCTTATAAAAACCCAGGGACTGTGTGCATATGCGAGATTAGCCCATCAGGTACTACCCTCAATGGTGTTACACTTAACCTCTCAGCCCATAATGATCAAACACTACCCGACAAGAGAGGACCTCTCCCTTGGCTGTAAGGAACAGTGTTGCACTCTCTACTCACATGGATCCCGAGAATTAAAACCTTTTGCAAACATTTTGAAACTATAATATATATGTATATCTTTATATAAATATATTTTGCAAAAACAAATTTCAACGATTGAAATCTGCTCCCAACAGCTTTGGTTTCCATCAGAGAKAGTGCATCCCCGATCATTATCTTTGTCCGACAAAGGGGTTGATCCTGTCACTATGATCACCCACTCAGATGAATTCTCAGACTATCCCAACATACCCAGGTTTTGACCCCCTCTAAGGATCTCACTGATTGACATATCAAAGACAACCCAATCCGACACCTAGTGCAATATCATAATCAAGTCTAGGGGTCAGGTGTAACATTCTAGTTTTTCCCACTAATCACCAAGGTCCAGGGCAATACTAGAATTCTGGTCCGGTTCAGGGTTTCAAGTAAACCTACACTGCATGTACCTCGGGTCTCACCCTGGCAGTTGAGACAGGCTACTCCAACCAACTTGGCGGCACATCAATGTCAGCCTTATCAGGATAGATCTCCCCAAATCGATCCATCGGCTGTGAACATTCTAAACTAACACGAGTCTCATATGTGTCAAGTTTAAGGGTATTACACAGAAACACACCATAATAACATAAATCAAATATGTACTTTATTCATTTACAATAAATGTCATAATATACATCATTCCGATTTGAACAAAGGGCATACACTATCTAACACAAATCTAGATTTTGAGTTGGATCGGGGCCATTTAAAAATTGGTTTTCAGAGTTTTAGACCAGTTGTTAGACCATGGGTGTGGTAATAACATTTTGGTCCCAAAGGTTTGAGGAGAGGAAAGAGACTGTATCTACAAGAGTTGTTCCCAATACACGATGGAATATGCTTGTGAGATTGTAGTGAACCGCCTTGTGTAAGGAGCATATCCTAATTCATTGGGAAAACAACTGTAATACATATCCTCAAGAAGAAGAAGAAGAGAGGATGTGCCTTAATATTAGTCAAGATAATAGTCTCCCCCTATTTATCAATATCTATTATTATTTATGATGCTGGAAAGGCTTTGACCAATCCCAACCCCTTTAGGTAAAGCCCCACTTGATTGATTTCCTATTTTTATGATTCCTACCTATTAATTATAAGTTCTAGTATCATGTCTTTCTTACATCATAGTCAAATCCTATTTTTTATATTTTGCTCTAATTTATTATTATGTGACTCGGGTTGGTTATTAGACCAGATTGACTCGGTTCGGATTTGGGACGGTTTAAACTGGATTTATATGGCTGGATTGAATGTTTATACTATTGACTTAGGTTTTGTGCAAGTTACAAAAACTAAATTCAAATCACACATAAGTTGTTGATAATTAATTACACATATGTTGAATTGAATTTTCAAATTAGTGTTGGATTTACTATGGAGTAAGTCAACAGTTTGAGAGGATTTTTCAAAAATTAAAAGTATGTTCAAATGTTTAATTGAACAACCACCACTCATCAGAGACAAAATTTTCAAAGTTGAAAGGTTAGTTTAAGACTACCAAATACCACCAAATCGAGTTCTGCCTACAACTTCCTATCCACTACAAATTTTGGACACATGTCCACTAGCATGTCCCTTTTCTTCACATGTGCAGAATTCAATGGGATGTAATGGGACAGCGTTAAGTTTATCCCGTCAGAATTCCCCATTAACCCAATTATATTTTTAACCTAAAAATAATTAATCTTTCTCCTTCCCAAGAACCCTAATAGTCTCTTTTTTCTCCGTTCCATTTTCCACGGTGTACTGTTCCAGGAAACTTCACCAGCATCTGGCAATTGACAACTGGCGATGTACTCACCGACATTCTATTCTCTTCATACTTCATTAGTGTTCCGTTCTCTCCATACTTGTCCTTTATAGATTAGGTCAAATGGTATGTGAGTTTCAGATTTTTGGATTCTTCAACCCATATAATAAAACTCTTTGCTCGAATGGAATGGAGAGAACAAGACTATTAGGGTTCTTGAGAAGGGGAAAGATTAATTATATTTAAGTTAAAAAATAATTGGGTTAATTGATGAGTTATGATGGGATGGACTTAACCTCTGTCTCATTACATCCATTGAATTCTGCACATGTGAAGAAGAGGCACATGCTAGTGGACATAGGGGTACCCAAACTGTGGGCCTTTTATGTGAATTGAACCGGTAGTACCGGTGTTTGAAAAATTGGTAACTGGAACTGAATTGAAACCAGTCGGTTAATTAACGGTTTAGTTTGTCGGTTTTTCAGTTTTTTTTTTTATTTTATAATATTTATTATAAAAATATAATACAAATTATAAATATATATAAAATATTATATTTTAAATAATAAATAATATATAATATATTATAAATATATATTTATATAATATGTATTTATTAATTTATAATATATAAAAAATATATAATATACATAAATATATAGAAAATATATAAAAAATATATAGAAAAACATGTATACCGGTCGGGTTGGTTAACCATCGATTTTTTAAATTGGTTAACCGAAATAGAACCAATACCTTTGATTTTTTAAAAACACCGAACCGAAACCGAACCAATTGATTTTCTATTCAGTTTTTCAGATTTTTTTGCTCACCGCTAAGTGGACATGTATTCAAAATTTATGAAGTGGGTAGTGACGTGCGTAGAAAGTTGTGGGCAGGAGATCCGGACTCCACTAAATCCACCAGGATTAGTCTACATTTCCTCTATCATTTCTCATGGGCTGAGGGTATCCTAATTCCTAATCATAATTGTCAGGTTTATAGTTGGATTTGGTTCGTTTCCATTATGTCTATTCATCCCATGTGCAATGCATGTGTCATAATGTATTTTTGATCCACTTATAATACTAATCTGATACTTTTTTTTTGTCTGATCATATTCATGTTAAATACAAACAAAATGCCTTTGAAAGAAATATATTGATAATGGTGGCGTTTGGTTTTATTACGTTTTTTATAATACAACATCACATCGGAGCCACATCCAGATATTCTCGAAACTAGGGGTGGATTTGAGCCGAGCCAAATAGTATCAGGTTTGAGCTCGAACTCAATTTTGAGAAAAAATATTTTATAAAAATAAAAAATTATATATAAAAATATTATTTAGTTGATATTTAAAAATTAAGAATTATAATAATTAATAATTATAATATTTGTATTATATATATT